TGTAATTTTCCGTCTTCCCAGGCTTTCAGGCACTATATAGATTTGTCTACTTCTCTAAAACAGAGTATGGATATGTATAGAGTCTTCATAGGGTATGGTGACCGCCAAAAGGAAATTATGATGTTTTCATTAATGCATTAAGTCATATATATGCTTGAGGTTAATGCCCTTCTGGCTCTCGACAGACAAATCATAGTCTTCTGACAACTCCAGACTCTGATGTACTGTAAACTAGAAACATTTATCTGTAATGAACCAGAAGGCTGTTAAATCAGATACTTTAACACAGAGTTAACGCCCTTCTGGCTACAAACAGACACTTTGTGACTTTCAATTTTCGCCAGTTTTTTAATAACAGCAACTTCCACAGCGAGAAATGTTAATGATTCCCCCAAAATGTTTTGAATGCAATACAAATTTGTGAAAGATTTGTTGCATGGCTTAGTATAGATATATACACTGCTATGAGAGGCATGGCTATTTCTATAGGCTCAAGGCATCATAGCAGGATGTAACATCCCCTTGAGCCTATCAAAACAGTGATGCCTCTCATTGCAGTCAATATATCAATGATAATGGTAAAATAATTGTTTTTGCCAAGGGAACCCTCATCAGCATCAATGCTGTTCTTCTTGAGGGACCTGTCATTGCCAGGTACCCATTCACACCTGGATGGAGAGAGGCAAATGTAGATATAATGTCTTTCCAAAGGACATTTAAAGTGTTTGGCTGGGATTAGAACCCTCAACCCTTGAATTGAAAGTCAAGTGAATGAACCAACGACACCTCCTTAGTTTGCGGTCTTACAAGCAGTATGTAATTTTATTTAAAAATAACAAAAGGGAGACTTATTTTGTGGTCTTTTGGACATTTAAAAAGTCTGGCTGGGATTTGAACCCTCAACCCTTGAATTGAGAGTCAAGTGAATGAACCACTGTACCAAGACACCTCCTTAGTTTGCGGTCTTACAAGCAGTATGTAATTTTATTTAAAAATAGAAAAGGGAGACTTATTCTGTGGTCTTTTGGATGTTTAAAGTGTCTGGCTGGGATTTGAACCCTCAACCCTTGAATTGAGAGTCAAGTTGATAAACCACTGTACCATGACACCTTAGTTTGTGGTCTTACAAGCAGTATGTAACTTTTTTTTCTTTTTCCTTTTTTCTTTTTTTTTTAAAGAAAACGGAGGCTTATTCTGTGGTCTTCTGGCACCCAGGGTATCCTCCCACAGTGTTTTCTGAGACACTTCGTTTCTCTTCTAGATATGAAACACTTCACAGCAGGTCTGATAATGCATTGTCAGCAGACATTGTCAGGTATTCTCTGTTTAGATCCAGTAGGGCCTTAACGCTGTGTTCAAGTATAGGAGGTAATGCCCTTCTTGCTCCAAACAGACGTCTGCTAAACAGTATCTTTACTTTTTCAAAACATGTTGTTTAGAGTGTCTCAAGTTCCGGTATCGGAATTGTAATTTTATGAGACATGGTTTAGAATGTGAATTTTGAATTGTTTATCAAGTGTTGGAAGAGTTGTTTTGACAAAAACTGAATGAAAACATGCTGGAACTTAGTGGAAATCACATTGACAAAAAATCCAACTCTCATTTGAATTGAGGAGACAGCTTGTAAAGCATGTGTCAGGACTAGCAGCCCAATTTCCTCATCTTTTAGCTCAGCGACACTTCCATGTATTTTACAGCTTCCACCACATTTTTGTTTTGTTTTTGTTTTTGTTTTGTGGGGGGGGGGGCAAATGTAGTTCATGTGGAGCTTCAAAACATTCATTGTGATTGTCAGTTGATGCCATGACCATTACCAAAACCAGACCTCATGATAATCAACAACAAAAAAGAAAAGAAGTTGAATAATACATGCAGCCAATTATTCTCGGGTATAATGATTAACCCAAATGATACATTTTTGCTATGATGGAGTCCACAATGTTAGTATATATCTGAAAGTATTTAAAATCAATCAAAGAACTGATCAAATATAACTCGTACAAAAGAAACAAAAGATGTGGTACAACATACTTGAAATATATATATATATTTAATAATATTAGCTGCTGAAAAAGTCCAAATTATTTTATTTTACCCTTAAATAGTTTGACAAAAAAGAGCTTCAAAATACTTCAGTAATACATCCTCCAATTCAATTAATAATCATTTACATGAGGTAAACTTATATTCTTCTTCCAAAGTTCAAATTTTGTACAAAATTCTTTCAATTCAATACTTTATCCTTATTTAGAAAGAATACCATAATCCTGACCATGTCTTAAAAAGTTTTACAATTGAATTAAAATGATTGAAGTCTCTTATGAAACACAAGTTCATGTGAATTCTAAAGAGTGGAGAATTTGCAATTGATCAAGATCAATCCCAAATCTTGAGAACAGAGAGAGACTGTCAATTTGCTTTCTCTTCTGATTTCTCCAGTATACATACAAACAGTTGTGAAATCAATGTTTCATTACAATAACTAATATCATTGCAACTGTAAACACATGTAGAAACTGTTCATTTTTAAGGCATAGCAGACAGACACAGTTAAAGGAAACATCAGTCTTTTTGTATACACTTGAAAAAGATTAGGAAACTAACACATTCAGATTCAGATATTACATACATACATGAATTGACATATCTCCTTAAAGGGGAAATTGTTTAAACAGTCTAATTGCATTCATTAGTTAAGAAATTAACTGACAAAGTGTATTTCAAACTTGTATAAACTGCTACTTCAATTTTGTTTTTAAAAGTGACCTATTTATCGGTTGGCAGTGTTTTTGTAAAAAGCATGTTTTGAATATGAGATATTACAGAAAATAGAACATTATAATACATTACTCAATCACCTGGAAGACTGTTTGTCATACTCATCTTTTGTTTCTAATTCAATTTGTGTTTTTTCCCTAATGTTTTACTCATGCCTTCTGTTCTTTATTTCACCATGATTCAATTTGACAAATTTTTTGAAAAACAGCTGAACATCAACATTCATTTGTTGAAGAAATTCAGTTACAAATTGCATAAGAAGTTTATTGTTTAACTGATCATGTTGTCCATGTCTCTCCACATATCTTATGATATAATTTTTTTTCTTTGTATCCGAGCTATGATTATTGTATGAGTAATATCGTGATTTAATCCATTTCTCCCTCAATTACATAAATTGGAAAATGTTGTTTCCTCATATTCATACCTTAAAATAACTCTGCGTTGATGGATTACAACAACTCAATATTTAAATGTAATAAATGAGTAATTTTTTTGTTATAACACAAAGATAGGAACTGGCATCATCCATGCAGTGTGTTGAATGATTTGGGAGGGAGACACGGTGCTTTGAAAATATTGTAATATGCTCTTTTGTCTGACTGGGCACTTCAAAATTTTCCTTATTTTATGATTGCAAATATTTTCGATAAATCAACATGAGGAAAATTTCATTATCTCGTTGTATTGCTTAAAGAAATGATATTTTGATCATGTAATAAGACATTTTAATGTTTGCTTTTTTAAGGTGATGCACAAGGCTACTGAAATTGTCTAATAGTTTGATTTCTTGAAATTCTTTGCGATCATGTTCACTTAAGAAATGAGTAATTTGAGATGCCCAAATGTGAACATTACAAGTGCCTTGGGAAGTATTTCCCACCTGGTTCAAAATTTACAGAAAATGGGTAATTATGCAATTAAGTTAATAACATTTGAAGATTCTTTATGGGCTCACTTGATAGTTTGAACAGTGAATGAAGGAAATTAAGTGAAATAAATAAATAACATTTAGACAAATTAATACTAAAACTAATAAGCCAATGAATTTAGAATTCCACCATTATGGATTTTATTATAACAAAATGTAATTTGGCACAAATTCATTATTACAAATGAAATTAGAATAATTAAGCTATATTATGTAGGAAATATTTACAATGGTTTCAATGCATGATTTGTTTTGATAGCATGAAGTTTCCAGAGAAGGCCAAATTCTTGTAAAGAAAAAAAAAGGAGCTTTTTTAATGATTGTTTATTCCTACATGTATGTGGAAGATTAATATATAGTATATCTTCTGAATAGGAGCACCCTAAAATTGCCAAGTATTGTATTATGAATTTTGACTAATTGATTTTTTTTGCGATTCTGTTGAATATGATTCCTATAATATTTTTGAAAAATAGCCACTTCGCAGTAAAATAAATAAAAGATCCTTCAGAATAGGTATTTGTCACAATCATTTTTGTGTGCATGATATACAAAGAGGCATGCTTTAAACTAATACAAGTGTATATCCATCAATATTAGTATGATATGGCATTATAAATTTCAGCTATTTAACAGTATCGATGCTAAGAAGATCATGTTAAATAATAGCAATAACATAGATCATCTCCTTGCATTGATAATATGCATACATTAAATAGGCTTCAAATGTACAAAATGCATTTATCTACAAATCTCAATGATGGAAATTTGTTTCACCATTACATTCCATCAATATTCCAAACAGGCAAAGACATTAAACAAATAATTTAAAAATCTCGAATTTTACACAAAAAATACAGATGATTTCTTAGAAATTTATGGAAACACCAAACAAATGTTGAGATGTTTTATTACATTGTTGTGTGTGTAGACCAGTGAAAAATAATGAGATTTTCTGGGCTTCAGACTTCAGATGTCCCGCTAGACCCTTATTTAATTTTCTCAAACTTCTTAAAAAAGACTTTTAATCTGAATCTTTGTGGAACTATATCTGACAAGGGGACGATTGTTACAAGCATTTCCTGTTACCCAAACCGCATCATTTTTTTCGAGGCGGTCAGGCTCCCTGTGTAAGAAGGATACAATTTCATCCTTCTGACAAAATATTGACAATGTATAAATGGGTCTTTGCTCGGATTACTCTTTAAACATTTTACGATTAATGAGATTTATGAGATTTTGTAAGTTGAGCTGCTTTTTTTTTCAATGGGGGGGGGGGGGGGATAATTGGTTCTTTGGACTCCTTCACATTCACCCCAAAAAGAAAAAGAAAAGGGTGTTGTTGTAGTACATGTAACTTCAAGAGTTAGTAGTGGAAGCTTTTGTAGTGCTTCTGCTGGCTAAGCCAACAAAGTTCAGCAGTGAAAACCACCTTTTGGTATGTGGGGTTCGCTTTACCAAAATATAGCACCGACGACAAAGGGGGAAATTTCTATAAAAGTGATATCATGTTATGACAGTTCTTTGTAATTCAAACATTTTAAAACCACAAAATAGGAAGGTATAGGTATGGAGAATGAATTTGTGGTGTTGGAGTTTAGTGGACAGAAATTTGAACATAATTGAGTAGTTCACACTGTAAGGTGCAGTGTAGGTTAAAGTGTTTACCAGTTATTGTAGTGGGGCTACATGTATGTGTTATTTGAAACATATTCAAGTATTTGTTTTCTTTTTTCAAATTTTGTTTTGAATTTGGAAGATTCTCATCCTCATATTTTTCTCTTGTGAAGTACATGTAGTCCCAACTTACCTTATTAGGAATATGGTATTATTATTATATGTGACTAAATATTGCCATGGCAACTAATGAACATTCAAGGATAAACACATTTCTTGAAACTTGTTTTCACTTTAATTAACTTAACCTGTATAACAGTAGGCGAGACAGGTACACGTATGAACGATTGATACTCAGGCGAACACATGCTGAAAAAAAACATGTATAGTGACATCAACATTGAATATCTCATGATATGTGAGGTGAAATTACCTCCTGGCGATCAAATGCTACTCCAATCATTTTCCTCGTCACTCTAAGAGGCAACTTTTGGCAAATTATATGGCATTCCACTGTTCATTTCACCTTTGAAAGTGCAAAGTACCAATACAGTGTCATTAAATACCAATCACCACTTTTCTGCAGTAGCCTCTCTGTCATCACATGTTCCTATTGTCATGTCTTTTAGTTTTATAACTTGAATATCATGTACCCTGAAAACGTTGTGTATCTGTTGCTATTGCTGCTTACTTCATTATCCGCATCGAGTTGTAACCACACCCGGTCCGACGTCTGCAGCTCAAGAATCACACTGTTTGTCGTCGAATCAAAAGCGTCCCTGTTGTCGTAATCGTGAACTGCAACCTGCATCTTGCCGTTCAGCATGAGCTTCACGTAGGGATTCTTGTGCGTGGATGCCATGTGGATATTGAAAATGAAGTAGTACGCGCCTGGGACAGGTGCCATGTAGATTCCAGAGTAGGCGTCAAAGTGGTTTCCAAAGTTGGTGAAGACATGCTCAAAGGTGATGATGATGTCGGATGCGGGAGGGGCTGTCAGCGTCGTGGTGCGGGCAGCGGAGAAGGCACTCCTGGTGACTGTTGGCTCTCCGTTCCCAGATCCAGGAGGTCCACGTGGACCAACCCTACCCGTGAGTCCAGGGATTCCTGGCCGTCCGTTGGTACCTGAAGCACCTTTGAGACCTGGAAGACCCTGAGGACCACTGTCTCCCTTGGCTCCCTGTAAACCAGGATTCCCATCGTGACCGTTGATGCCGTGGTTCCCGGGTACACCAGGGATCCCTGGAGCACCTGCCGATCCTGAGGGCCCGTTAGGCCCTGGCATTCCCATGGTGCCTCCCGGTCCTTGACAGCACTGCACACACTGTTCCTGTGGGTCCTCTTCTGTAGGTGATGCGGTGCTTGCTAAGCTTCCTAACCTGGACGTACGTCGTCTGTCATAGTAGTCTTGTTGGCCAGCTTGCTGCGCGGCTTGCGCGGCTGGTTGGGCAAACAAACTTGAGACGGACCCAATGAAGGCCAAAACCAAGAGGATTTTAGATGTCAGACCCATTTTGTTGTCTTCACTTGTTCTGTCTATTAGTCTCAAGAAAAACTGTTCTTGTACTGGTAATGTCGAGTTGTCAGTGTGTTGAGCAGATGCTGTTATCAAGACATCCCTTGCTGTCTTCCAGTTAATAAGTCCTTAAGTATATCCTTGGTACTTGCTCCAGGTTCAAGTTGTGTAAACCGTCTCTTTCTCGCTGTAAAGATATAATGACAATATATTAAGTTGGAATGGTAGATCAAAGTACCATGAAATGGACAAATTTATAGGCCTAATACACTGTATTTTAGCCACAAACATTAATATAACAAGGAGGTGGCATAACAAGTGTTGCATTAATCCTAATTTTGTATTAATTTATCATTCAAATGACAAATTTAAGAGATTCAAGACCCCATGGATACCCCCCCCCAACCAACTTTGCATTCATTTTCTGATCCTCTGCAACTAATTGATATATTTATTTAGACTGTTTGAGACACAATATTTTATCAATATGAACTCCCCCAATGATGAGTAAAAACCCAGAAGGGTTTTAACTCTTTGTAAAAATGTAGTCATTATATCTCTCATGTCTCAACAGAAGAAATAATGATTGATGATAATTGGTGATTGATAATTTTTAACAAGGAAATGAAGGCACTTTGTTAAGAATGTCATTTTTGGGAAAAAATAGTGATGAGGTGTTTTTGTTACTCAATATATACCAGGGCGTTTGATAAAGACCCTTTTCAGGTTATCTACTGGAGCAAGAAATGACCTTCTCAAAACTCTACAATAATATTTTTCAGGTGTATTGTAGCTATATATTTTGACAGAGTGACTGAGCTTAAAGGAAATATTCAGCATTATGAAGAAAAAAAAATGATGCATTCTGTTTTCTTTGGTCATATTTGTGACCCATTTTCAGAGAGTTGAAGAAGAGACTTGGCTTGTTTTTGTTTTTTTTTCTTCAAATTTTCTTGTTTTCAATATTTTGTTTCAGAGAAGACAAATGAAATGAAAAGGGAAGATTAAAAAGAAAAAAAAAACAACAACTAAAAACAAACGGTATGCTTTGATTTTTGATATTATTAGGTCCATTTGATATTAAGAGTATATATTTTTTGGTTTAATTACCAGATATCCTCTTAAATGGAAACATGTCTGTGACTTATTTCTAACATTTTCATAAAAAAATCGCCAGGTCCCCAAAAAGTCTGACTTTGAATATTTGCCTTCCTATTAGTCAAATTCTACAAGTACAAGGAAATTAAAAGCCTGTTTGAAAACTTGAGTAAATATTAGGAGACTTACTGAAGTAGCTACTCTGTCTGTCTTCAGGGTATATATTTCAATTGAAGTCCACGAAAACAAATAGGCTTCCCGTTATTCCACTTTGGTTGAGCTCAAGTAGATCCTCTTGAGGTAGTAGTGCAAACTTGGTCCGCGCAAACAGAAGACACTGGTAGAATCAACAGATGATTAGTCAAGATAAGAGGGAGGTTGGGCTCCGATAAGACGTGTTTGTTAAGTATGAAAGGATGGTGTATAAGTCCCGAAGCACCCGGTTGGCTTCTTGTAAGCTTCAGGGGGGATTACATGGAAGATCACTGCTTCCAGATTTGTTGGCTAATATCAATATCTCAAAGGATCGTTGTCCTGATGTGGTTGTATCCTGACTGAGTGATCCGCGTAAATCCAAAGCTGTCCGGTCTGTGAATGGTACAGCGTCAAAACGGACAATGTGGGGTCCAGCTTTTGGAGAGATTAAAGCCACGGCTTCTCTTTCGCGGCGAGATGATGTGAAGTGGTAGTTATAAAACCCAGGAGCTGGTTCTAATACAGCTTCATGCACTCTGGGGAATGGGAAAGAAAGTTCACGGATCCAGGCTTGACTAGATAGGGATACGTGGCGTCTGGTCTGGTTGAGAAAGAGCGTGGAACTGTGACCGTGACTCCGTGGGTATCTTGCACAGTACTGACACCTCCAAGGCTCCAACTCTACCAGCAATCTGGGTCTGTGAGGCTGCCAGGCACAGCTGGGCTGTGATTGGTCCACAGTGACAAGAGGCTCCACCCACAGTCTGGTAGAGTTTAATGCTTTGGGCCAATGGGAGGGGGTTGGATTGGTCAGTGAGTGAGTGAGTGACTGGCTGGTTTTAGTTGTAGAGTGGGGGGGGGGGGGGGGGAGAGACATGTGTGGAAATAATTAAATAGGAGGGGAAAGAGTTGATGGTTAATTGTCTTATATTTATTAGTTAGACAAATAGTATGTTCAGAAGTTTTGAAGGTGAAATGTCAAGTTGAAGGGCATTTATGAGACAATCATCACTAATTAGAGTTTGGCATTTACTAAAAGAGTAAAATAAAGGATGAGGCAAAGTTGAAAGAAAGGAAGATAAAATGAAAATTTAATGTGGCAGTAGGCTTTGATAAGTCAGAAAACATGAATATGGTTTGGAAAAAGAACAGAGAGGATTGTCAGGTGATGAGAAGAGGATCGTCAGGTGATGAGAAGAGGATCGTCAGGTGATGAGAAGAGGATCGTCAGGTGATGAGAAGAGGATAGTCAGGTGATGAGAAGAGGATCGTTAAGAGAGAGAGAGAGAGAGAGAGAGAGAGAGAGAAAGAAAGAGGAGGGAAGAATGGATAACATAGTTAATTACATAGGTAAAGGAGAATATGACATAGAATGATGGGAGAAAATTGCCAAAAGAGGAGAAGAGAAAAATGGGAAGAAAAGTGATGAAGGAAAAGAAAGAGGAAGAAAGAGAAAAATTTTAGGGGTGGAGAGAAATGGAAGCATTGCAAGAGTGAAGGAGGTCTATATACGAAGTGTACATACTACACAGTGACAAAGTGTTTTTGGTTGACTGAAATTCTTTGTGGGGGTACACATTTTGACTTCAACAGACTTGTCAGCACAATACAAGAATGAATTCAAGTAAATGAAGATAATCTCCCTTACACGATCAAGTGGATATTATTCTTCAAATTGGCTTCAGCAAATATTGGTCGTGGAATTTAGGATAATGGTATATTACCCTAACTAGAAGACATTGTATTTTATTTTTTATTCTACTTTGATTTTAATTCCTCTGGTTCCAACAAGTATATTTGTTTCCTTCTCTATCTGATAGTGTACCAAATAGTTTACATACCTTCATACAAATCAGGGACAGATAAATACAGGAATAAGATTAAACGGGATTGTATAATTGTGCAAATTGGATGATTGTCTAGTTGTCAACAAACAACGTAATGTTTCTCTTGGAAAAGCTTAGTGGTTGTTGTCCCGGAGGGGTATTTTCTGTGGGCAATTATCCCGGGAAGTACTTGACTTGAAGAGTATTTCTTATGGTTTTTGTCCTGGAAGTATAGCGGCTTGTTCAGGCTACTAGAAAGCTATACAAACCTTGTTTGAAGAAACCTTGTATAAAGGAGCACACAGGCTAACAACGTCACATAAGAATCATATGAAGAAAGAAGTTATGAAGAGTTCCAATGAGATTACAGTTGGCCAATCATTTGTGTGCTGACCATTAGCGCCACCCTGTTATACGATTGTGTATGATACATTGCTTATAATGGGACCCTCATGAGTTTAATAGTATCCTTCTGGCTCTCACTACCTCTACTTTAGTAGTAAAAGTTGTCTCATTGCTCCCCCTCCCAGCGACATTTATAGATCCTCTATCCTTTGAGTAGTGTTAAAGTTGAAAACTGGTCAAGTACTAACATCGTGGAAGACACTAGAAGCATTCAGGCAAAGGTTGATTAGTATACAAATTGATATACCATATGGTATTGGAATGATCAAAATCAAAAGTAATTGACCCAGTCCTGCTAAATATCATATATTCCACACATAATATGGGAATAATAAGACAAAACACAAATTGTATGGTCCAAACTTTTTTTCTCCAACCATTGCTTGTCATATCAGAATATGTGGGCATCTGGAGAGCAATCTTTTCAGGCAATATTTCTGCTATGAAATTCTTCTAAGCTGACAGACAGTGGGAAAGCTTAACAAATAATATGTCATATTAAAGGGATCCGGTAACTTTGTCTCAGATTCTGAAAAAAAATTCTGGATTTAGCTCATGATGCAATGATAATTATAAACCTTTAGGTCAGTCAGGAACCCCATGACTTTTACAAGCCGATCGCCCATCTGATTATCAAGATGTTTATGATTGGAATTACAAATTTTGAAAACCGTTCGCCTTACGGTTTTCATAACACTACAGTCTATTGGGGGAAAACGAGTATGGTAAAACCGGTCACTCAAAGATTTTTACTTTTTTGAGGCACTTCTTGATCATTTTGAAGCGCAGTTTTTTGAGGGCTTCAATATTACACCATATCACAGACACTGATAACACGTAGGGCTGTGTATCTCAGATTTAACATTGTTAAACGATCCCTTTAACCAGAATCCAACCGTCACTTTAATAGATCCACTTGCCACTCTGTTAATCTTGCTTCATATTCTATCCACTCCAAGTGGGAATAATAGGACAAAACACAACATTTTTGGTCCAAACTTTTTTTTCTCCAACCATTACTTGTCATTTATCTGGAGAGCACTCATTTTGGGGAAAAATTTCCACCATGTCATTCTTTCAAACTAACGACTAAAAAAAGTGGGAGAGCAAACAAATAATTCATCATTTTAAACTCAGAGTCCAACTTTCACTTTAATAGATCCACTTGCCACCCTATTAATCTGGCTTTGTATTCTATCCACTCCTCGTATCTTATCCACTCTGGGTGTCGTGCAGTGGATCTGGCACAAATTTGTTACTCAGAGGAAGCCAATGCGAGGAACGCAGAGATGCAGGGAGGGGGCCCGCCATGAAATAAATGAGTTTGGAAGTCTGGAAGGGCATGGCTTGTATAAAGTAACTACTTGTGGCTGTAACACCTCCAACTAAACACTGTATACAAATTATACATACAACGCAGGCAGTGCCATTATATATAGCCTTATTTTTGTATTGCATTGTACGAAGGATTCCTACAGTTATGAAATTAGGCTTAACATATTTCAACTATTCATGACCACAATTTGGTTACACAACTTATAACTAACAATTTTTAAAGCAATTATATATTTATTTATTTATTTATTATTATTACAATTTGTTTTGCTTTTTTTGTTGTTGCTGTTGTTGTTGTTGGGGATTAATCATTATTTTTATCTGAATTTAAAAGTAATGTAGGCTTGTTGAAGGGTATGAGAAATGAATGAAATTTTCCATCATTAAACCATTCTGTTGGGTGCTTTGTATTCCGTAGGCTTAGCAGGAAGATTCAGAATTGAGAAAGCTTTATGTTTTATGTCCCTTTTCAAATAATTTATTATGTCATTACCGTCAGTGATGTTTTAAAGCTTAGAAAGAGGATTAAGGTAAAACATATATATTAATACACCACATCATGGTGAATGAATGTCAAAAATCCTTCGGAACTGGAGGGTATAGTTTTTATTACATGTATCACATCTCATAATTTTGAGAATAGAGTTAGGGCTTTTGATACCAATGCAACCATAGCGATACAAAATGGAATCTTTGTATCATGTTGTATGTTGAGTAATGTTTTTTATCTATAGTTTGGAAGAGCATTAGTAGTTTTTATCCATCTGTTAAACCTAAGTTAGAGGGATGGTGTTCAAATCCTCAGATCGTCAAACACTAAATTCCCAATTGCAACTTTTTTTCTGTTACAGTAATTGTAAAATGACTTTGGCAGATTAGTTTTTAACGACATCTTAAAGTTGAAAAAAAGGTGAGAACCATTCATTCAAACATTATTTGGACAGCTGGTGGAAAGAACTTTGGAACATTAATGTTCATGCACTTTTCATGAGTTCACCTGTGAGTCAAACCATATTTAATCAACCCATTAGCTCAAGCAGATTATCAGCATTAAATCTACATTAAGCTTATGAATATAAAACTGTAAAAAACGTAGCTATGTAAATTTTCTAAATTGAATTAAATTAAAAACTAGTGAATGTGTGCAACAGTTGCCAGTAATGAGATGTGAAAGGGTTAAGATGTGATGTTTATATGGCTTTCTCATCGGCCTGGGACAAAACAATCTTGCACTCCGAGTTTTAAAGGCCGTCTGCACTAGTTTGGCTAGGAGGGATTAGACCACCAAGGGTGGTCACTGACAGGTGGCTATCTCATCAACTCAGCTCTCAATTAACATAAGAAAAAGAGGATCATGGGGGACCAAAGGTCACCGATTAGGCATAGTTTTTCTATATAGAGGGAGCAAGTAGCTACAAGTAGTATAGTGGGGCTTTAAGATGCTGGGTGGGGGAGGGAGGGGGGCAGATAATGGGAATATGTTCTTGATATCTTGTTGAAAAGTTCACGCTCAGTTTACAATCAGGGCAATGTCTCGAAAGAGGGGCAATGTCTCGAAAGAGGCGCAGGTGCTTGATTGAATTAATTAAGTAGGAGGCATTATAGGCTAATTAGGAGAACAGTGGGGAAACTGCCAAATCTATTTGCAGTGAAGTAGGTCTGTTCACATTAGATTGTAAGTCATTGTCTCTCATTCTTTCTATTTTTCTTGTGCGCCTCGGAATAGAATCGTCTAGATAGATGGCGCTATATAAATGTCAATTATTATTATTATTATTATTATTATTAAAGTAGGAGGCATTATGCATATCTCTCTCTCTCTAAGTGCCATATCGATTCACTTTGGCGATCATGCTGTTCCACAACCCTCGGCTCTAGCCTTCTGTATTAGCACCACTCCCAGTTCTTTCACTCCTCTCTCTTCTAACAATGCAGATTGTCTATCCAAAGTATCTTCCTTCTTCCCCTACTCCTCCTTCCCTTTCCACAACTTTCCCTGTTAAAGCAAGATTCTCTAAGTCTAGGCGGTTTTACATGTAATGTGACTCAGGTTAGTTTTTAGAACATTATATTGTTTTGCTTTTGAGCTAT